GAGGGGGCTTGGGGGGTCAGGCAGGGGCTGGGGGGACTGAGGGGGGCTTGGGGGGTCTGAGGGGGACTTGGAGGGTCTGAGGGGGGCTTGAGGGGACTGGTGGGGACTTGAGGGGACTGAGGGGGATGAGGGGCTGCTGTAGGGGCAGAGGTGGGGGCTCAGGAGAGAGTTGGGGTGAGGGGGGACATTTGGCAGAGCAGGGGGGGTCCCTATTCCCTGTGGGACAGACTGGGATGCTCCCCATTCCCTGTGGGACAGACTGGGGTGTTCCCCATTCCCTATGGGACAGGGAGAGGAGTTGTTCCCCATTCCCTATGGGACAGACTGGGATGTTCCCCATTCCCTATGGGACAGACTGGGGTGTTCCCCATTCCCTATGGGACAGGGAGAGGGGTTGTTCCCCATTCCCTGTGGGACAGGCTGGGATTTAAGAGCCAACCCAGTGGGATGTGCCCAGGTTTTGCCATTCCCGGGGCTCTCCCTGTGCTCTCTGGGGACGGGATCAAATCCCCTCCTGTTCCTGCTGACTCATGTTTGGGGCCCCTGAACCTGGGGCTGCTCCTTGGAGAGCAGGAATTCTCGGTTATTCCATGGATTCTGAGGCAGGGAAACACTCACTGGGGGTATTTTTTCCCCCAAGAAACCTTTCCCGTGGTGTTAATTTAAGGAATTCTGGGAGTGCTCCTTCGGGAAGCTTTAATTTGTAGCTGGACTCCCCCGTCCTTGGAAGTTGATCCCAAGGCTGGATCTGATGGGAAAACTCAGGGAAACACGGGAACAACTCAGCCCTCTGCCCTGGGGAACCTCCTTGTTCTCAAAAAAACACGTTTTGGGGGTGAAAAAAGCACGTTTTGGGGGTGAAAAAACCCACATTTTAGGGGTGAAAAAAGCACATTTTAGGTATGAAAAAAGCAAATTTTGGGGGTTAAAAAAAAGCACAATTTAGGGATGAAAAAAGTATATTGTGGGGATGAAAAAGGCACATTTTGGGGATAGAAAAAAGTACATTTTAGGGATGAAGAAAAGCACATTTTGGGGATGAAAAGAAAGCACATTTTGGGGATGAAAAAAGCAAATTTTGGGGATGAGAAAAAGCACAATTTAGGGGTGAAAAAAGTATATTGTGGGGATGAAAAAAAAGCACATTTTGGGGATAGAAAAAAGTACATTTTGGGGGTGAAAAAAGCACATTTTGGGGGTGAAAAAAGCACATTTTGGGGCCCAACCTGCCCTGTGTTGCAGTGTGGACAACAGTGAGTACATGAGGAACGGGGATTTCCTGCCCACGAGGCTCCAGGCCCAGCAGGACGCCGTGAACATCGTGTGCCACTCCAAAACCAGGAGCAACCCCGAGAACAACGTGGGGCTCATCACCCTGGCCAAGTACGGGGGGCCCTGGGGGGGTCACTGGCACTTGGGGACACCAGGGAAGGGTTGGGGGCACCCCCAGGGCACAGGAGGGGGGTGTTGGGGGTCAGTGGCACTTGGGGACACCAGGGAAGGGCTGGGGGGACCCCCAGGGCACAGAGGTGGGAGCAGGGGGGTGTTGGGGGGTCAGTGGCACTTGGGGACCCCCAGGAAGGGCTGTGGGGACCCCCAGGGCACAGGAGGGGGGTGTTGGGGGGTCAGTGACACTTGGGGACACCCAGGAAGGGCTGGGGGTCCCCAGGAGGGCACAGGGGTGGGAGCAGGGGGGTGTTGGGGGTCCCTGGTATTTGGGGACCCCCAGGGCACAGGAGGGGGGTTTGGGGGGTCACTGGTATTTGGGACCCCCAGGGCACAGGGGTGGGAGCAGGGGGATGTTGGGGGTCACCCCAGTGCCTCTGGGGGCCCACATTGGCCAGTGGGCTCCAGGTTCCAGGGACAGACCCACGGATTATTTTGGGATTTCCAGGGTTTTTTTTTTTAGGAAACGAGGCTCCCAAGTCTTGCCCCTGGTGCCCCGGATCCCGGTGCTGGCACTCAGAGCAGGCACCATTCCCAGTGCCAGGGGGGATTTTGTCCCACATGAGGGGTTTTCCTGAGGAATTCCCCAGGGATTGCTCCCCAAATTTCGGGTGTCTGTCCCCAGTAACTGCGAGGTGCTGACCACGCTCACCCCGGACACGGGACGGATCCTCTCCAAGCTCCACACGGTGCAGCCCAAAGGGAAGATCACCTTCTGCACCGGGATCAGAGTGGCCCACGTGAGTCCTGCTGGCTCCTCCCCCTCCCCTAATTAGTGTCTAATTAGTGTCTCTCCCGAATTACCTGCCCTGGCAACGCTGGGACTCCGCGATTTCAAGGGGCTTTTCCAGCCTTAATGGTTCCCTGTCACCTCCCCTGTCACCCCCTGGACCCCACAGTGACACCTCCAAGACCCCACAGTGACACCCCCTTGTCCCCATAACCCCCCCCAGTGCCTCCCACTCCCCCTTCCCAGGGCTCCCAGTGCCCCCCCGCAACCCTCCC